CTTGGCCCTGAGAGACTGAGATCTAAGGAACAAAGAATAAAAAGAGACAGTCAGGAAGCTCAAGGGTGTCTGGGTTTTGGAATTTGTCATCTGATTAAAATGAAATCTGTTAGAAGACACATGAATTAAAATGCTAGTTGTATTTAGTTTGTCTCAGAATGCAAAAGCAGCATTGGATGAGCAGTGCTATTCCAGGAGCAGGACGCCTGCATAGTTGCATGTGGTCAGAGGCCTGAAGATGATCCAGGAGGTCAGAGTGCCACCTGGTTCTGTTTTTAATTCTACTTAGCCTTCAGGAACCCAAATTTCTCAGTGGTAAAAGGCAGAAGAGCCAACAACTCCAACAACCTTTCGTGTTCTCTCCAGCTCTGTGAACCCATCACTTCCAAACCTTATTCTGCATATTTCTCATCAGCACCTCATCGACCGCCACCATAGTGATCTCAAAGCCCCCAGGCACATTTCTCCAGAGCAGGGGCGTATTCAATGGCTGCCTGGTTTGTGATTTAAAATATTTTGTCTCCCAAATCTCTTAAAACATCCTATTGATTAAGCTCATGATTTTTGATGTTAAAAAAACAGAAATCAAATCCCAGCTCTGTCACTTACTAGCTTTGTGACCTTGAGTAAGTTATTTACACTCTGTGAGTCCCAGTTTATTCCTTGTAAAATAAAGGCAGTAATACATATCTCACAGGATTTTTGTCAGTATTAGAATGAGATAATATACAGTCAGGCTTAGAGCAAAATCTCTCTAGAAGGTGGAGGGTTTTATTAACAATTTCAGCAAGATGTTTAGAAAGTTGGGTTTTAGGGTGCCAAAGAGAGCTGCCTGTTTCATTACTAACTAGTCATCTGAGCTTGAACAAGTTACTTGGATTCTCCAAGTCTCAGTTTTCTCATCTTTGAAAGGGGGATGATAATCGCTCTCTTGAAAGGCATTGTGAAGAGGAAAGGTTCTGATTGGCTAGCAGGCTTCTTAGCGCTCGCTGGGCAAACTGTGAATAGCGAGACCTGCTTTTACTGGTGTTGCACGTCTTTTGAATATAGGTGCAAGGATTAGTCAGCTCAGGCTGCCATAAAAAAGTGCCACAGACTGGATGGCTGAAACAATAGAAATATATTTCTTGCAATTCTGGAGGCTGGAAGTCCAAGCTCAGGGTTCCGTCTGAGTTGGTTTCTCATGAGACCTCTCTCCTTGGTTTGCAGATGGCTGCCTTCTTGTGGTGTCCTCACATGGCCTTTCCTCTGTCCCTGTGTGTCCCAGGGGCCTCTGTCTCTTCTTATAAAGACACCATTTGTATTGGATTAGGATCCCACCCTTACAAACTCATTTAACTTTAATTGTCTTCTTAAAGGTCACATCTCCAAATTCAGTCATATTGGGAGTTAGGCCTTCAACAAAAAAATTTTAGGGGGACATAATTCAACTGATAACAAGGCCAGAAGTCAGATTGCAGTAGATTAAAAAGAGAACAGGAGGTAGGAAATGGACCCAGCAGATAGAGTCAGCTTCTCTGAGACGTTTGACAGTGCAAGAGAAGAGAGGAGATAAAAATGTTATTTTCAGTCTTTGTTATTTCTGTTAGTGCTGAGAGTTTGGCAGAGTAGGAAAACACATGAAGTTTGGCATCAAAGACTCGAGTATAAATTCAGCCTCTGTTTTCTCCGCTATGTGACACCTGGCCACTCATTCCTTCACCTCTGTAAGATACTCAGTATCCATATATGAAAAAAATGGACAATTAATCTCATTGTAGATTTATTGTGAGGATTAGAATTATATCAGTAGTGCACCCAGCATATCTCCTGGCATATTACAGGAATTTAATAAATGTTAAGCACTGTATTAAAAGAAAAAAAACACCCCAAAGTGCACACTTTTAAGTGGTGGCGGAGTCCCATCGTGAATTTCGCGTCCTCTGCCGAATCCTGCTGTGCTCTCAGGCTTCCCCTCCAGGATCAGAGTCTTGATTGCATTAGATGGTGTTTCTTTTTTAAACTTATATGCTGGTGATTGCTGATGATTTCAGGTATGTTTTTAGAGCTTGTCAGCCTTCTAGAAATAGAAACAGCCCTTGGAAAGGTAGGAATCATTAAGAAGTAAGGTACCAGTCAGCTAGGAAAACAAGAGAGTCCCCAGGCAGACACTTGAAGGATGGTGCTTTGAAAATCGCATGTGATGCTCATCCTATCGCACATTCTTGATACAATCACACTGACCCTCCGGCCCTGGGTCTTTTGTCTCAGTCTTAGCGTCTGCAAGTCTGCAATAGTTGGAGGGGGAAACTAGGTTGGTAGATTCAGGCTGCTGTGTGGTTACAAAGGCTGAGCAATTCAGATGCTGTTTTGTTTCTTAGCAGTGGACGGGTCATTAGGTCTAGTGGAGGTTATGCTGTGATTGAAAAACTGCTCAGAAAATCTCATTAAAATTCCCTTTACTTTGGTCTATGCTGTGTTTCTTGGAACAAGGCACAGGGACCACTGTGATACCAAAGATGGCATTATTCAAGGCCCATCAATGGTCCACAAACCTCAGTCTGAGAAATAATTTTCTATTCTGCAGCTAAGGTTCCCGGGGCTCCAGTGGCAGGGGGACTTTGGCAGCAACGTCGCTTGTTTATTGACTCACGTATTCATTCATTCCCCAGTTAATTCTTGAGCAACTATGGGGTATGAGGCGCTATGTTAGGTCCAGAGGACATACAGACCTGTAGGACTTTGCCCGTCTTCATGGAACTCACAATGGGGAAGACAGGCCTGAACAGATCATAACGAAATTAATGATTTACAGGCTAGCTGAGGTTGGGGGGAGGTGTGAGAACTCTGACCGGGGGCCCATCAGTAGCTCTGCATGGCAGGGCAACTGGAAAGGCTTCAGACAGAAGGCAAGAGTATTTGAATCAGATCATAATAGACAGGTGTATTTCAACAAGAAGAAAAAAGGAAAGAGAATATTTTAAGTTGAGGAAATTATACTGTAACTGATTCAAAAAGAAGCTCAATCAAGATGCTCTTCAAGAAAGTAGTCTTTCCCTCCATCGTAGTCTATTTCTATCAGGTCTGTCCCATGGCATTTATTTCTGCACCAGCAACTACAGTAACTTCAACACAGCCCAGTGCACTGGATC